GCCAGCTTCACAACAAGCTCTTTGTTCTCGATTAAGAGCATCGACCCTCCGGGCATACTTTCCAGCCACGCATCCAATTTTCCGTTCATCCCTTGTTCGCATGCAGAAACCGATGATTCCACTCGGGAGAGAGATGAGGAACTCACTCGCTTATTCCCCGAAAGGAACCAACAACGTCGGTCTTCGTTATAGGAAAATACTTTGCTTCAAAGAAAGGATAGTCTGAGACGCAAAGGTTGCGCAAAGCACCTCGAGGGATCACCGACTTAGTAGGAGCTCGGACGAGCAAGAAGAGTTTTGCAGTGCTGGACGTCCGGCGCTACTGATTGAAATCACAGGTCGCCGCCGCGGTAAATGTTCCCAAATTGACTCCATGGTAGCGATTGGTCGCGGCACTGTGGGATAGAACGTTGGAGAGAACTCTTGAAAGCGTGGAGAACAAACGGGCGCAGAGAGAGTGCGCTTCTTGGCGATATGAACTTTCCACATGTTCCACCGGAATCTCGGGATCATTAAGATCCGCCAGTTCGGAATCCTTCCTTGTGGGGTCTTATAGACACTGGAAGAACGGCACGATGGCGTCGTCTTCAACAATCGTTAGAATAATGAGACAGGAGATCGATGCATTCCACTTGTCCAACCGGCCAGATTCGGTCTGCTGATCAAGAACTCAGGGAATTCCCCCAACTTACATCAGCCGATGCCGAAGGAGTTCAGCGTCCCTCAAGAACATTTTCCGATGCGAAACGACCGGGAGAACGGTAGTTTTCAGTGAAAACTTCCCACTTTCTGCCGTCGAGTCTCGCACGCGACCCATGACACTGAAATTACGCACGATATCACCGTGAATCGCAAGCTGCTAATTACTAGGACGACGCGACGGAGGAAAATCTTATTCCTCATATAAGATTTTCCTTATTGACATCGACCTTGAACACTCATGGTTCGTCAGAGCGCGAGCATGACCGCCCGAGTTGCTGCCCCCCGCCAATGGGACTCCGTTCGGCTGGCCTTCATGCATGTTGGGGCTAGTCCGGCTGCGCAATAGCGGGAGCAAGCGCGACGATTGCTCGTCGGACGAGACGAAGATAGGTGGGTACAGGAAACGCGAAGAGAACTCCGCTGCCTAGCTACCAATTTCTTGAATGAAGCTTCAAGTAAGCGGCCAGGCTGGTCGGTCGGTCGGTCGGTCGGCGGGCGGCGGACGACGAACGGACCGACGAACGAACGGTCGTTTGGACGAAGGAACGCACACCGAAGAGTTTCGCCCGCTGATGCTCGTTCTCGCTCAGTCGCCCGTTCGGCTGACTGGTTGTTGGTTGTTCTTCTAAGAAGTCCCCCATCCGATTTCGAGCCAGACGATCGTTGTTGGCTCGTTCGTTGCTCGGAGGAGAGGAACCTAGGAAGGCGAGCGAAAGAAGCCACGCAGTCGAAGATGAAGCTAAAAGGACGAAGACGGCCCCAGTGTCGCCTCCGCGCCACCGCGGCTGCCGCCGCCGCCGCCGTCGTCTCCAGGTGTCGTTCAATATTCAATACAAGGAAGCACCACCGACCAAAAAAAAACAGCGAAAAAAACTGCTCCCAAGTAGCTGCCGCTGCGACTGATCCAATGCGCCAATTTAACGCAGCCTCAGGTTAAGTCACGGTACCGTTGTTGCCGTTGGTGCTCTTGCCTGTCCGCCTCTCCTACCCTGACTGACTGACTGCTTGGTCGTTCGGTCGGTCGGTCGGTCAGCCAGTCGGCTTCTTGCCTGCCCATCTGCCTTTTTGCCCTTCTGACACACTGACTGCCTAGCGCCTAGCCAGCCAGCCAGTTCCCCGATCCACCAACTGACCAACGACCGACCGACCGATTCGCCGATCCGTGCGATTGGCTGGTCGGAGAGAGAAAAAAAGGAATCGACAAACCCCATCGACCGATAATCACGTGCTAACAACCCCGAAGATTGTAATTTGCTCGAAATTTTGACGCCGTTTCGCTCCTAGGGGCAAACGGTGCAATCATCCCACTCTCGGCCGCTCGCTCGCTCTCGGCCCAAAACAAATTAAAACAAATATTCGCATCATCGATACGAAGCGTCCGCCACTCAAATTCGCGGGGAATCAGAGACGACAAGCGGCGGGAGGGTCTCTGATGATGATCGGTCTCCGAAAGCGAATCGAGATGGATTGTTTCGATGGAAGCCATCGAAATCGGGAAAAATCCCCTATCGAGACGCTAGCCCTCGAATCTGACGTTCCGGAGTCGGCGCCTACGACTCGAAGACCGAAAACAGTAAGTTTATGAATTCTGTTCCGCGGAGCGCATGAGGCTTTCGAAGATCGCGATAAGTGTCGTGTGGTTTCATTCAATTGTGTTTGCTATCCGATGGGTCCCGTTGATTGTTTCTGCACCAGCAATAAATCAAGGCTCCTCGATAGGGGTGTGTTGATGTTGCTGCTGCTAGGTATCGGTCGGCTCTCGTGCCAGTGCAGCAGCAGCAAGAAGAGTAACGACAAGCCTTACTCCTCGAAATTCGATCGTCGAGCAGATTTCCGGCGAAATCTGCTCCACCGATTGGTTTTGCGTTCTCGAGCCCTGAAGTGTCGGGGATCTATTCGATCAACCCTTCGGAGGGTGAAGAGAAAGAGTCCTACCGTGCTCATTTCGCGGTTCCGTCTACTCGAATATTCGTCCACCCGAACCCGATAATCGTTCTTGAGCTTCGCATAGACATATCCGTTCCGATACCCGGACGACTCATAGCTTGAATACCGTTCTTCGGGAGGGAACGAGCTCGGTCTGATCAATGCAAGTTGTGATCGGGGATGCTCTGAACGTACTACACGAGCGCGTAGTGAAATAGGCTGCTATTGTGTAAGCTTCGGTCTGATCCACAAGCGGCCTTTGTGCTTACTCTGTATGTCGGTGCGTACTCATCACAGAGCGAGGTCCATATGTCGCTCTCAAGCCGGAACAGACGTTCGGCCTACGGAGATCTCGTTCCGAATTCGAAAAGAAACGTTCCGAGACATCCGATATACGTTCGGAACGAAATGACGGGAACCGACAGATTCGAGTCGGGCACGTCACAACGTTCTCGGGGACGACACATCGTGCCGCTGCGAGCCGCAGTTTCGAAGATCAGGCCGAAGGATCAGGCCATTGATCGATATGACAAGTGACGCGACATGACTGCGTAGAACTCAGGAAAATGTCAAGTCATACGTCGCCGCATCCTCAAAATATGCACAATGACGACACGACTGACTGGATGCGGTCAGAGCTGTGGAATTCGAACGCCAGAGATCATCATCTCTAGACGAGTGCTAGAGCTTCAAGTCGAAGGTACTTAGGTAGTCGGTCGACGCATCGAATATGTACACCCGTGGCGTCCACACTATGAAGCTTTATGCGAAGCCTCATAGTGGCATCGGTCGCCCATTTAAACGGATTCTCCCCCACGACAGCAGCAGAGGAAGGAGAAAAAAATAAGCCCCGTGTGTTCGGTTGAAGTCCAGCTGACAGTTTCTGGTACCCCCTGGGTGAGGATGAATGCTGCTTCTGGTGGAGAGAACCCTAGACCCCACTGTTGGCTCTCACTCCACACACTGACTAGGAACTGCAGTCGATGATTGCTTCTGGTGGAACACACAACGCTCATAGGTTTCGGGCTCGATTCGAGTCTTGAGAGCAGGTTTCTGGTCGTCGACGTTCCACTGACATAACGACAGCGATTTCCGTCTCCGGGAGGAAACACAGGAATTCAGCGACCACGAAACAGGATTACCGCAAATTGAAGCACACTCTACGCTGAGAGCCGACTGGAGTTTTCCGGTGAGTATCTTCGATCAATTTTTTCCGGCAGACTGAATTTCGAACAGAGCTCATCCTCTTAGTTTTGTGAAAGATTCCGCATCCGAAATCGATCCTGTAATCTCGTGAAGATCATATCAGGAAAAACGAGAGAATAATATCTGTCGAGAGATTCATATCAACGCGGATCGCTCTTCTTTTCGAACGTTTCGAGTGCGATTCTGTGCCAGCACCTCTTGTCATGGACTCAGGTCCACTTTGAGTATTCGCCTCGTTACGAAGAACACTTAGCGAGCCAGCGAACTCAGATGAGTTGTCGAATCAGGGATCCCGAGCTGTTACCCCCTCGATTCCACCGTAGAAAGTTCTACCGTCGACGCTTCCCGTATCTTGAATGTTCTCGAATTCGAGAGTTTTGCTTCCGATTCCCTTTCCTCGACCTTCCGAAGGTATCGCTCGGACGAGTTCAGAGTATCCAACGATCTTGCTCGACTCGCGACCTCGGGTCTACTTCTGACACGATGACTGCTCGTGGAGCGGAAAGTGTATATCGAGACTGTCCTGAAATATGTGTTTCCCGGGAAATAATGTTCGACTTTTTACGATGGATCGTCCGCGCGCTCAGCGCCGGCAGCCCGGAAGATGAGCCGGGTCGTCCGCGACCGTCGCTGTTTTTGCATGACAAGTCCTGACATGGAGATGACGTCATCGGGCGAATTTTATCTGGTTTATGCGACAAGCTGCAACGAAACTTTCAAAGCTATGAAACCCCTCCCTCGATGTCGCCACTGACAACTTGTGTCAGCGGCAACCTGTTCGCTAGCTCGCTCCTTCGCTCAACAGGCGAATCTATTGGGTCAGTGGTGCTTTTGGGGCGCTTTGGGTTCCCACGCTATAGGCCATGGTGCTACCGCCAGGCATCCTGCCTGCCATCCGCTCTTCAGGTACCAACAAGCGATGGCGAAACAGGCAGCGAACGAACGAGCCAGCGAGTGAGTGAGTGAGTGAGTGAGCCAGCCAGCCAGCCAGCCAGCCGACAGATCCCCAACGACCCAGTACCGGTTCCTCCGACTGGTTCTGTCTTTCTGTCTAGATCGGCTACCCTTGATCGTTGGCTGAGTTCTAGTCATGTGTTGCGCCGCAGGTCGCTCGCTCGGTGGTTGGGTCGGTCGGTCCGTCCGGCAGTCAGCCAGTCCGACCGTACTCCGGTTCGTCTTCTCCTTGTGCGATGGTGGCGGCAACGGCCTTGGTTCTGGGTTTCTTGAATCTCACAAAGGCTATTCGAGAACATAGCCATTGAGCTCTGCGAGTCGCTCGCTCGGTGGGTCGGGGAAGTGGGGCTGTTTTTTTGTCCACCACCTCCTCCTCCTCCTTCTTCTTCTTCTTTTCTTCTTCTAGTCTTTGCACTCTCTGTCTATCGTCTCTGCGTCCGTCCGTCGTCGTCGTCGTCATCTTCGTTTTGGTTCTGTCGACTCGATTGTTGTGGGCTTTATGGTCCATAGACATTGTACGACAAGGGAGCATTCTTCCGAGAGAGCACTAGATGGGAGCATTGTCGACGTTAGGATACGCTTTCGTAATTTTTTCGCGTCCATTATTACATTGTGTCGTCGCCCTCCATTCCGACGCTGCCGATTGGTGGATCGCCCGCCGGCATGCTTGTCTGTCAGCAGCTCCACTGGTCCGATAATAAAACCAATTCCAATCAAACGACCGCTCGAAGGCTCTTGTTGTTGGCCAGTCATGAATGATTGTTATGATTGAATCTATCAGGGAAACAAGGGGTCCGCTTCGTTGGGAAATTCGTTCGGGATAGGCGTCCTCTTTCCGGACAAGCACATCTCCGGCCGGAAACGTTGACGACCTAGAGGAAATTGCGGTCGACAGTATCTGAGTCTCTGATGCTCAGTTGGATCAAGCATAGGGAACGACGAGATTGAAATGCGCCCCGAAATTGAAATCCGCTATGCAACGCCATTTGTCCCGGGAACGTATCCCGGCTCACGACATCCCGCGATTTCTCCGGCGCCTACCGCGACGAATTCGAAATTCTCATGAGTGATGATTCCAGCGGTCAATTCCTAACGTAGTTCTCATTTTCCCATTCACAGTTGATGATGACGTGTACAACGCCGGAAGATCTCCTGAATAATAATCATCACGATATCAACAACAACAACATCAAGAGCAAGCACAATGCCGCACTCAGCAGACTGAGCGGCTGCGGTGAACTCAATCCCTCTCTCGAAGCGGAAAAACGATGTCCAGAGAACCTCCAGAAAGTCATCGCTCTCCAACAGAACGTCGGCAATCTCGCCCAGTTGGACTTGGCGAAACTGGCGACATTGCTTCCTGCGGGAATGAGCTTGGAACAAGTGCAGCAGATCAAGATGAAGCTCGTGCACCTGAACCATCTGCAGCAGCAGCAGCAGCAACAACAGCACCAACAACAACAACATAAGTAGGCACTTTTCGCTAATCCGTCTTTGTTACCAACTACCTACGGCTATTATGTACGCCTCCCTTCTCGCTCAGTCCTATTCCAATCACACGGAATTTCGTCCGGTGCGTCATCTAATTAGCTCACTCGCTCGGAATCCTGCGCTCATCCTTGTTACACGTCTCCGAGCTCCGTGTGAATACTCGTTTATTTATCCACGGCACTCAAAGTACCGCTAGCAGGGACGTACTTGCGGTGCCTTGAGCAGCAGCAGCCATCCCTACACCAGTTGTTTGTTCAGCGGAGCACGACAGAGTTTGCGTTGTGAGACTATAGCGGAAGCGGTAGGGACGGCGGCGTGGTCGTCGTCGCCGTCTCATTTCCATACGGCAACGTAACTTGGCTCTAATTTTTTTCCGCTTTTCTCTTTCAATTAGGAAACTCGAAAGAAGTATTTCCGAGCCGAACAGCGGTGGTTTCGGCAACAACGGATTCAGCGTCGCCGGAGGGAGCGGCGGCGGCAGCAGCAGCAGCAGCACGAGCAGCAGCAGTACCGACTCGGTGAAGGATGCCTCGTTGGACACCGTGCTCGCGCTCAACTCGTCTCGTTACAAGACCGAGCTGTGTCGTCCTTTCGAAGAGAACGGGATTTGCAAGTACGGGGACAAATGCCAGTTCGCGCACGGCATAGAGGAACTTCGCAGTCTCGCTCGTCATCCCAAGTATAAGACCGAGCTCTGTAGAACTTTCCACACAACGGGACTCTGTCCGTACGGACCCCGGTGCCATTTCATCCACAACTCCGAGGAAGAGAAACGATCCAAGGCTCAAGCCTCGACGGCCGCGTCCCAGGAAGCCCTCAATCTGAAAATGCTCCACGAAAGGACTTTCGATCCCAAGATGACCACGTTGCAACAACACCAGTCCAATCAAGATCTGGTGTCGCCGATGCCTCAAATGTTCAAAAACCGAATGCACGGTCTCCGGCCCAAAGCTCTCTCGATCGGATGCACTAGGAGCTTGGGCTCGGCTGGAGAACTGTCGCCCCCGATGAGCCCCGCCATGTACGAGGATCCCTTCACTCCGTCGTACTTCAACGTGGCGTCACGTGTGCCGTTTCCTAACTCACCCGCGGGCGTGTCCTCGTCGGCGTCTTCTTCCGATATTCCCTTCCTGTACCCCTCTCCGCCGAACATGGCCATGTCACCTATGGCATCGATGCATGCCGCCTCGTTCAAGTATCCTCCGATGATGTACAACAACAAGCCGGTCTACCGGCTGCCGTCGATGACCTACTCGGCGAGCGTCGGGGACCAGCTCATGTCGGCGCCGGCCGTCATTTCAAAGTCCGACACGATTTTTAATTTCCCTCCCACGACGTTCCGCACTAATTCCCCGCCGCTCGAATCGCTGAGCAGTCAGTTGCACTCTCTGTCTCTGTCGTCGAACGACATCGCCAAGAAAACTTTGGCCGACGCTCGCTCCGCCGCGGGCTTGCCTCGTCTTCCCGTTTTCGATCAGTTCTCTCGAAGACCCATGCCGATCTCTTAGGCGTGAAGATCCTGGCGCGTTCGTTCGCGGAGAGCTCCGGGACTCGAGCTGCGGCGACAGCTCTCTCCGGGATCGTCCCCGAACGTCTTCCTGTCTCCAAATGCAGAGACTATCTCTTATCTCTAGCCGAATCCCGAGGCTTCATGCATTCTGAGGTTCTCTGTCGCTACCTCCTGACGACCACCGTTTTCTCGATGATAAAATATTGTGAAGGCTCTCGATCCCGAGAGCGAATAGAAGGCGCAAGCCAAGTACCTACAATCGATCTCCGAAGCTAAGCGGGCGACTCTGTCGCGTCGCGTACTCTCAGCGTCCTCTGATTCCAGCGGTTTAGCAGTAGGACCCGATGATCTCATTTATTTATTAGGACTGTGAGTCCCAATGATTTTATCCTCGCTCTAACCGAAGCAAACCTAAGTTAATGCCAGGTCAGCCGAAGCACTCAATTCGTGCGGAGCATCTGACAGCGAGCTGAATCTTTAATATATCCTTCAACGGCTTGTGCAGAATTCAGTGCAACAATATTAGTGCGCGTGTGCCAATCTAAGCTCCGAAGCGAGACGACAAGCGAACGAAAGAGCAAATAAACGGAAAGAAACGGGTAACCCATGGTCTCTCATTGGGTCAGCATCTTCTGTGCTGACGCAATGCTCTTTAATATATTTTTCGACGATTCATCGTTCGAGAGATCCTGGACTCTAGATAGCCGAAAGCATGGACCTCAAAATCCCGAAGGGAGAGGAAATCTAGGAGGTTGAAGAGCATTCCATGTGGAGGATGTTCGATACCACCCCGTGACTTCCGACGATACCAAGATGCACATCTTGGGAATTATGAGAGATATCTTTTGTCAACTCAGCTCAACATGCGGGGATCCAAGTCCGCACACGGTACCCTCAACGGTTTTCCAATTATTAAAACTACAAGTTGTTTCGCGATCACGTCAGACTATTCATTTTAGTGCTCCGGTCGAATGAGATTACCTCTCGACAATTCAAACCTAGTCGAGAATTCGCTCCCAGTGGATCGACGCCTACGCGACTGCGAAACCTATCGCTGCGTCGGCCATGAGAAATACGGGAATATATCCGACCTGTAGGGAAACGACCCGAAATGTCTCATTGAAAACTGATTCTGACGCTCTTTCCTCGACCCCAGCGTCGCGTCGGCTTGACGTCAGTGTCATGCCTTTGGTTCAGCAGGAAGAATCCCGGCGCCCGCCCCTCTATTATATGCTCTTATTGTCCATCCTCTTTCGAGGGGACGGGAAGGCTGTTGTCAGCCTACAGACCCTCGAGGACGTCGGTCAGGCCGTCGAACATCACGCCTGGATGCGTGACCAAGGCTTTTTCGCGAGAAATTACTCCTCTCAGCTGCTCATTTCCTCTGTAGCCACTGCAATGCGTCGTTAGACTAGCAGAGGCCTCTCCAGCGCCTTGGCGAGTTCGACACTGGAGACTTGAGCCGAAAAATCCTCCCCGGAGCTCCCCCCTTGGAGAAACCTGTGACAGACGATTGCACCTGCACCAATTCCTGATTGGCAATCAATCGGAAAAGTCACGGTATCTGTGTCGTGAATATCAATCCTTCGAACGACTCTCCTTTGCGAGCCGACGAGCAACAAGATTCCAACAATGGAAATCCCTAGAACTCCCTGGAGGGAGGACGATAAGCGAGCAGGGCTCTTTCTTAGTTTAAATCTATGTATCTTGTCTGTTCTCGTGAATTCGACCGGAGGCAGAAATTTTCGTGTTCCATTTGAGCACGCCGAGGAACGAGCTTGATTAGTGCGCGTCGAAGCTTGAGACCCCGGGGTTAGACGACCAGACACGCTTCAACAACACGCCCAGTTAGACGGCACCCAATTTTCTTGTCAACGCGGTGTCATGAGCACTTGAGACTGATATTCGTCCCGATCCGATCATCGGTGTGTTTTGCTCTGAGTGGGGTCAACATGTGTCAGTTACGAACAGAACTTCATTTGAGCCGCGAACTCAATCTCCTGTCATTCCGTTCCCCGCTCCTACCCTCAACTGTTTAAAGGTTCGAAACCTCGGAAACCTGTATGAAGTAAAAATATCCACGCGAAGCCTCTCCTCCTGCAGTATCGCGTCGACGCTTGTGGTCTCGGCCGAGAGGGGCGACTCGGATATCTTCGCTTGAAGTTTGCGGTGAACGATGGTCATCTCTCCTAAAATTCTCGACGAACATGGAGTCGGCTGCGTCCTCGGACAGACATCGCAATAAATCGGGAGAATTCTTCGGAGCACCCGACCACTTGACATTGTTGACAGTTTCCATCTCTGATCTCGACGATTCTCGTCAAACTAGTTCAGAACGGTTGCGGAGGAGTATCGAAATATCTGATTTTCCCCGGTCGCGAGCTCGCTTCCGAACTTTCTTCTTTCTAGGCAGACACCGCCTTGGGAGCAGAGCGCACATCGATCGCTCGATTCCAATATCGCTTCGAAGTGATATACATATGTATCTACAGGTCATGCAACAGAAAACAGAACACCGCCCTTGCCTCTCGCTACAGTTTTTTCAGTTCCGAAACCATGATCGTTTGACTTATCCGGACAGATATGCAGACTGAATCAGACTGGGCTGCTCGGGTTATATGGCTGGAAGAGGCTTGCGACGATTAGTTCATCTCCTGACAAGAGACAGGTATCGCAGTGATTTCGAATCTGACGGCATTCAATCACAGGCCGCCGTTTCGATTTTTCAGGCAGAGCTCGAGGGAGGGGGACGAGCTGAGCTCTCCTCAGTTGAAACTGCCGATGTCGGATGTTGCCGCCAAAGGCTGAGCATCCGACGACCAAAAAGCCTCTCATCTGGACGGCCTGAAGGATATTTGCAGATATGTCTCGCGGAGGATTCCGAGTATAATATCATTTATCTATATGTTATTTATATGTTTATTCAGAGCGAGTAATCAAATTATTCGTCGATCATAATTCACAGTGTCGCAGAGATTCCCACCGCCACGAGCGATCTCTTCGCTTGCTCCGCATTGATGTCGATGTCTCTATTGTGGAAAGATTCCGCGAGCAGAAGAAGGACTCTCGGTCCCTCTCCTTTTATAACTACACCTGAAGATCTTCCTTGTTGAGCGGTATAAGCTCAGTCGTCTTAAGTAGTCAGTCACGGAACAACACTTAGGCAAACTCTGTGAGGATGCTCTGTGAGAGAATTAGAAGCTGTCAGGCTGTCAGAGTGACGTGAAGATTCAGGTCAGTATCGCTGTTCGCCTCTCGATTTGTCGAGCACCTCCGGACAGAGAGATTTTCTGCTGTGTCGGCCGCACGTCACGATGGGTCTCATACGGAGCCCTAAGAGCGGCTTCACCGACGATATTGGTTTCTTCCCCGCTGCCAAAAGAGATTTTCATTTCTCGTGGACTGCTCGCTGAAAACGTGCTCCCGTTCAGCGGAGGATCGCTGGAACGGGCTGGATTCGAGACGGGTTTCCTTCATCGACTAGGAAATCGGGGTTCCTAGAAGATGATCCGGAACGATTTCGCATAGAATGTTGGGATCTGGCGTCTGATAGTGATTTGTCGACCCACGTTTTTGCGCATCACTATCGTGTGATTCTTTCCTCTGGTCGAGGCCAATCTGGATAGCATCCTCCTGCGGTGGCCTCTGCCGCCTCTTCAAGATCGAGTGGTTCGGGATATCAGGTAAGGGAAACAGCGAAGATTTTCTCGTTTTTGCCAACTGACTCTTCGGGTACAGGTTACGAGCCCGGCCGCTGCAAGATCCCCGCCTGTGCTGAGAGCTCTCGACGCTGGCTTGATCGGCTCACAATAGATTCTCGACGTTTACAACGATATCGAAATCTATTGCATAGGGTCCAGGGCATGTCACGACCGGAATGCAAGGGACGTAGGATAAATCAGCCGCTGCCGTGTCCCTTTCTTGCTTTACGTTATTCACTCGTATATCTACTTCGGCGGAGCGTCGACACCGTCGCAAGTCAGTGCGAGCCCCGAAGACATCTCTCCATTAGATAGGCAAAGCTGGAATTCTAAGGTCGTTCGCTATTGAAATATTCACGCAAGTGACTCCGTCGTAAGAAGAGGAGCAGGTCCAGCGAATACGTCGCGCGAGAGGATTCCTGCTCATTGTCCCTCGTATTTAGGCACGAATCATGGAGACGACTCGCCAGCACAAACTAGCCCGGCTGAAGTGGAATATCATCTCGGGATATACGAATTCCACAAGAAAAGTTTTGCTCGCTCCATAGACCAACGCGTTCACAATGGACTCCGCTCGAAAACGCTGAAAATGATCGATTTCGCACGTTGGAGCTTCGCTTTCGGAAAATCACTGCCGACCGAAGCCCGTATATGTAAGCTCTGACATTTCCGTCAGGAATGCAATTTTGGAGGTGTACGTCCTAGGGGATAGGGATTTGCCTAGCGTTCAGATGTTGTTCGTCCTGTCCGTTCAGATGTTGTTCGTCCTGTCCGTTCAGATTAGTGCGTATGGCTCGCCGAGCAATCTCGATATGACGAAAACCGCGGTCTCGTCCCATCCACGACGGGGTGGCTACCCACTGAGGCTCGCGCAAACCGCCAATCCTGAATTCGAGCGATTCGTGTGCAATCTCGAAGAGGTATTCCAGGAGGCTACAAGACGAGATTTTGATCACAATCGAACTCCGAGAGCCTTCCAGGACTGATCGCTGTTATCTGTCAGGAAACAGTTACGTTCGTGTCTGCTTCGCCGCAGATCGCTACACACTGTCTCTCGACTGATTCCGAGGGACGGATCGAAGCGAATTCCCTCGGGGATCACGTTTCCGCCTCGACTGCGCGCAGTTGCCCGAGCATCGAGCGGGGGCACGGAACGGAAAAGTTCCGCAGGGTGTCGGCATCAGAATCGGAATCGTGCTCATTCCAAATTCATCTCCATGAGGGAGGGTTCTCTTCGACGCTCTCTGGATTTGGATTCTTTGATGATCGCTTAATCGGTGGAATCCTCGCTCGAATT